CCCCCCAAAACAGTTTTTTCAAAATTTCTGGGGTTCTAATCAATATTTTGAAATGAAACAAAATGGAAATTACTTATGATAAAAAAACAAATATTTCGCAAGTGATTCCGTGATTGGGGGTTGCTACCCTTATTTTTTATTTCAGAGAAACAATATTTTTTATTTATGAAAAAATCATATTTACTCAAAAAGAGTTAAAAATATGATTTATGTAAACAAATTGACAAAATTAAATTGACCTGTTTCGAGGTTTTCGTTAAAATCTCTGTTTAGGGGGGTGAGCAACAAATTTGAAATTGTTATAACTTTCTTATTAAAAATTAAAAAATATATCTATTTCTCTGAAAAGAAAGGTAACATTTTTTAGAGTAGATCGAAAAAAAAATTACAAAATTCATTCATTTTTCTGCTTGATTTTTTTTAAATTTCTGAAATCTTCCCTTAACTTCTAGCCTCCCTAACTCTGCTAATTTTAATAGTACAAGAAAAAGTCAAGAGGCCGTTTTTATGTAGACTTGTATGCTTTACAACTTTTATACGAAACTTTTTTTTCTAACCCTTACCCGTTTTAAGTTATCTTGAAAAACCCCTTTGTTTTATCTCTTTCCACCCTTGGTCGGGGGTTGAACAAAAAATTACTGTCACTTATTGTTATAATATACCTCTAACTCATATCAAAAATTCAGGCAAGTTGACCAAAATTTCGATTTAAAGGCTTATTTAATTGGACTATTTTGACAAAAATAAAACAAGTAAAACATGATAAACGATACATCATCGCAATAAGAAAAATGCGTTGAATTTAACAATGCGAAAATCCAATATGTCACCCATAAAAAAGTTGTTCCTCTTTCCGTTTTCAATTAAAAATAAATTAAAATCAAAATTTTTAAGTTTTTGACCTTTAAAACGAAAAGGATAAATCAAATTTCTCTTCGGCATGTTATTTGTCATCAAATTCTGTAATTTTGATCTAATGTGACTGACCGTGTATCTCTTAAGTTAGTTGAGATCTCAGTGGAGTGGCTCAAAAAACGGACACCCTGTATATTAAAATATAAATATAATGAAAATAGAGTAAGTATGAATAATATATTAAAACGCATAAATTACTTACTTTATAAATTGTAGGCAAGTTTCCTCCTCCGATATGTACCCTGTGTGAAATTGCATTTGGCAAATTTTAATTCCCATTGCCTTTCCCTGCGTCATGACTCCCCCTAAAATATTTCTGGCGTGATAAACTACTATACAAACATCTCCACAGACCATGGTGTTGACTGGTAGAAGACACTACAATAAATAAAAAAACAAACACTTACAGAAATACTGAATAACTATTAAAAAAATATATGTTTTTTGACAAACAATATCCATCGTACCTTTCCCTCGACTATATTGTACAATCTCATGCGTTCGTAATCCTGTAAAGTGGACAAAACACATCTATTTTCGCTAAACACCTCCAAGTAAGGGCGACATCCGTCACTGAAATTCACACAAACGTAAATTCATTCCGTTTTACTGCTTTAGAGAAGGTACTATACCGAATTTTCGTAAACAATGGCACAGGTTGCAGCTGCAGCGAGACTAGAGTCACGGGCTTGTAATGCGGGTACAACGGGGGATCCCTGACGATGTCAGCCAAATAATAGAGGTACCTAAGCTCGGAAGGCCGCATATTAGGTGGGCATCGTTTCACGGCGAACATCTGAAGGGCGTCCTCGGGAACTTCGAACAGTCCGGCGTATATGAGCAAACCACACACCAACGTAGAGGACGTTGCTTTTCCATCCTTAAAATATTTTTTAGGTAAAAGTTTGTTTTCTCGCAAACAGCTAATCTAATTTTGAAAATCCTTTATTTTTGGGTTATATTTATTTCACAGTAGTGACGCTAAGATATAGAAAGTTTTAGAGAAATTTCAGTTTTTCACATACACTAGGTCGAATAACGATGTGTTTTCTCAACAATTGCTTTTTTAATTTGCCATTAAGACTTTTTTCTTGTAGTTTTCCTCAAGAAAATTTATAGTTGTATTTGTTTCCTAATAATGCTTGTAGATCCAATAGTGAAAAATAAAAAATTTTTATAATGGAAAATTCTTATATATTTGGAGAAAACGCACTTTCTTGGGGGTCTGTAATAGTGATACATAGTCCAGAATTCTAACGAAAGAGGAAATTGAGAGATTTTTGCAAGAATAAGCACCTGATAATAGATTTTTACTAGAAAAGGTAATTCAAATTAATTTAATTTAATTAAGAATTTTCTGCTGTATTTCCCATATTAGACCAGGCGTGATCTGTTTTGGTATGATGTTTTATAAACTATCGTTAATTTTTGCTTTAATGGTTCCAAAATGATATAACAAAACATAATTTCACTATGCGCGCGCTTCAAAACGTGTGCTAAATTTATTATTAAACAAATAATGAAAAATTGGAAAAAATTCAATTTTTTTTCTCTTTTTTTTTTCAACACAGGTCAAAAACTATTCATTTTAGAGAAAAATTGAAGAGTAAAAAAAGATTCGTAATTAAATTTTACATAAGATATACCTATTTTCAAATAAAAAAATACAACATAATTATTGCAAACATAGCAAAAACAACAAAAAGAAGTGAAAAAAAATTACAATATGTTTGCGATTTTTTTTTGAAGTACTTATATTATAGGTAAGATCTTCATACTTGGCCAAAAAAATCTTTTTGATATAATAAAACAACACACCAATTTTCGTTAAAATCGGTGCGATAGTTTTCGAGTACTAATTTTGCAATCCAGATTTTTTTTTTAAATTGAAATTTTTGCAAATTGAACTGAGCCTAAATTAAGACTTCTAGATACTTGAAAATTTTATCACATAAAAAAGGCCACTTAAATTTTAAAATATGTTCAGAAAAATTGAAATCCGTTAATTAGGAGAGCCATGATAATTGTTTAAAGATATGCGTAATTTTTGCTATTATAAACAAATAGAATAAATCTATAAATTCATTATAATTATTATTTTTTTGTAATTATGCTTTTAAAGTACTTGGGAAGACGTTTCTTTAAAAAAAAAAAAAGTGGTGATCCGTTAATTGGTTCCAGAATTATAGTCGATCAAAGTTGACTGGCATTTGTGACGTAACTACGAGGTCTGGAGGGTTGTTTTTTAAACAAATACCTTTCTCATTCCGAGTACTTTCCAGGAGTGAATTTGCAAAACTTGCGCCCTTGTGCAACCCATATTAAATGTCGATTAAAACTATTGGATCGGGCATGAAATTCACGAAAAATATATGGGAGGTAGTGTTGATTTTGTTTTTTTTTTTAAATCGATGTCTCGCAAGCTGAAAAGTCCAAATATCGCATTTTCAAATGCGAATTATTATTTATTATCGACCTATTAACATATTGATAATTACTAGTACATACTTTTTAATTTGCTTTACTTTTCTCATATTTTTCTTTATTCTATTAATGAATATTACTCAAATTTTATATAGTTTTTATCCGTACATTGTATTCAATTTGTTTAAACATTCAAAATTTGTTCAAACAATAATTATATAAATAAATTTTTAAAATCAAATTATCTTAGAAAAAAAAGCATTATACTACATTTTTATTGAATATAAATTAATTTTAAGTGTTTACATACATTTTTAAAAATTAAACAACAATTTAATCAGTTAATGATTTCATTTTATTTTATGAAGTTAAGAAATTCTATATAAATTATTATCCGAGTCTAGCTCGTTTATATACTGCAGTAATTTCGGTAATTTCGGAAGCTTCATCAGCATCTTCTATCTGTTCATCATCAAATTGGTATATATTATTTACAGAAACCTACAGTTCGTGGAGCTGCGTACTCACGAACGCAGGAGAATATACAGTTCTTATATTATATATTTTTTAAAAATACTTACATTTTCCTAATGCAGCATCTGTGTGTAAAATATTTCGAATAATTTATATTCAATAAAAATGTAGTATAATGCTTTTTTTTCTAAGATAATTTGATTTTAAAAATTTATTTATATAATTATTGTTTGAACAAGTTTTGAATGTTTAAACAAATTGAGTACAATGTACGGATAAAAATTATATAAATTTGAGTATTATTCATTAATGGAATAAAGAAAAATATGAGAAAAGTAAAGCAAATTAAAAAGTAGTAATTATCAATATGTCGATAATTAACAATAATTCGCATTTGAAAATGCGATATTTGGACTTTTCAGCTCGTGAGACATCGATTTAAAAAAAAAAATCAAAATCGCACCACTAGAAGCTGAGATAATCCAAATTTTTAAGCACGCCGCTATTTTGAAAGCGCGATTTAAATGTCGAGACAGCCGGAGTAGCCCAGCTCCCATACATTTTTCCTGAATTTCATGCCCGGTCCAATAGTTTTAATCGACATTTTATATGGGTTGCACAAGGGCGCAAGTTTTGCAAATTCACTCCCGGAAAGTACTCGGAATTACAAAGGTATTTGTTTAAAAAACAGCCCTCCAGACCTCGTAGTTACGTCACAAAAGCCGGTTAACTTTGATCGACTATAAATCTGGAACCAATTAATGGATTACGTTTTTTTTTTTAAAGAAGCGTCTTTCCGAGTACTTTAAAAGCATAATTAAAAAAAAATAATTATTATAATGAATTTATAAAGTTAATCTATTTGTTTAAAATAGCAAAAATTACGCATATCTTTAAACAATTATCATGGCTCTCTTAATTAACGGATTTCAATTTTTCTGGAAGCATTTTAAAGTTTGAGTGGTCTTTTTTATGTGATGAAATTTTCAAGTATCTAGAAGTCTTAATTTAGGCTCAGTTCAATTTTCAAAAATTTCAATTTTTTTAAAAAATCTGGATAGCAAAATTATTACTCGAAAACTATAGGACCGATTTTAACGAAAATTGGTGTGTTGTTTTATTATATCAAAAAGATTTTTTTGGCCAAGTATGAAGGTCCTACGTATAATATAAGTAGTTTAAAAAAAATCGCAAAAATATTGTAATTTTTTTCACTTTTTTTTGTTGTTGCTATATTTGCATTAATTATGTTATATTTTTTTATTTGAAAATAGGTATAAAATTTAATTACGAATCTTTTTTTACTCTTCAATTTTTCTCTAAAATTAATAGTTTTTGAACTGTGTTGAAAAAAAGAGAAAAAAAAATGGAATTTTTTCCAATTTTTTCACTATTTGTTTAATAATAATTTTAGCACACGTTTTGAAGCGCTCGCATTGTGAAATTATGTTTTGCTACATCATTTTGGAGCCATTAAAGCAAAAATTAGCGATACTATATAAAACAACCATACATGGGTATTTTGTAACAGATGCCGCCTGGTCTACATCCCCAATATGATATTTAAGTGTAGGTAGTGAAAATTATACGACGTCCTTTAATTACGCCTCCACAATAGAAAAAACAAATTCATTTGGTGACCAATTTGTTGGAGCCGTGCCCCAAAAATTGATCAATTGATGTTCCTTGATGTGAAAATAAAGTTCAAATCTTCCATTACGATGAGCGATGCGACTTTTATAGTGGATATGGCACACACAACTGTTGAATTTCCCTGTGGGAGTGGCCATGCACAAAAAACTCAACGAAATTATGGAATAATTAAATCTTGAATATTTTTTCAATAGTAGATATTACCGTTAATAAATATATGTTGGAAATACACATTTACATTTATGATTTTAAATTCGTATTATTTCATAAACAGTTATTTAACAATTTTTGTTTTCGCCAGCTTAATTCTGACTCGTGTAGAATTACCATCGTAGCATTTTTGCTTATTACAATAAACCTTTAAATACAAACTACCGATTTTGATTTATACAACTGAGTAAAATAAAATTTCTCCTTTCTTTAAAATAGATATTTGATTTTAAATAAATATACGTATATATAACTCTTTTACTCACCGTGCAATGTATAACTACCGCGTTCCTGCTATCCCCCGCCAAATACTGGAAAATATCCTCGCACAGTTGATAAAGCGAATTCAACAGAGGCGCCTTAAAATGTTCGGGATAGGCGAACGAACAATCCACTATCCTCGCCTGTCCGAACTTCCCCTGATAAGGCCTATGTGATAAGTTATATACTGAGTATTTGAAATTTGGATGTCGAGAATCCAAAAACAGTCTTACGTCCTCAATGTGATTAGTTCTATAAGTGGACTCGAATCCCTCCGAAGGAAAAGGCATCACGATAATTCTCGACGTTACGTAACTTATATCTAAGTCAGTTCTGGCCATGGTCCTGAAATAACACGTGAATTACTTCAAATTTCTACGAGGCAGAATGCAATGCAACTCCATGAGAAAACATTTTCCATAAGTGATGCTCATAGAGAATTTTGCTAACATTCGCTGTAGATTAACAGACTTTTATCACATCTTTTTTTTTCAAACATGATTTATTAGCTAAAGAAAAACCTTATTTTTATTGACACTCCATAAAGGGCAGATTACGGCAATGAAAAAATGTTCACGATTATTAATTTTATAAGAAAAAAATTATTACTTACTGTTGCATAGTTGCCATTACTTTAGAACTAGTATCCTTGAGATTTTTCAAGAAACTCCCCGCACCTCCTTTTAGTGACGAAAATAAACCGGACTGCTTAACGTCTGGCTGTTTTTGAGGCGTTGAGATTGTGGGCTTCTGCGGTGGTGGCGCTGGCCTCTGTGGAACCTAAAAAATATTTAAAAAAAACAGCAAATTCATATAATTTAGTTTACAATATTCAAATTTTTTTTATGTCCGTTTAGACCTTGAAATTTAATGTTTACTACTGAAGTGAATTAATGATTAAAATAAACGTATTACTTGTGGAGGCCTAGGGGGTTCCTGAGGGGGTACAGGCCTAGGTGGTGCTTGCTTCAGACCGTTGCTGTAGCCTCCATCTAAATGATTTGAATCTATATCACTTTTCTGTTGAAATATAAGCGGTGCCCTCAGATTGAAACCGTTCGACTCTGCTATCGCAGCCACTCGTTCCAATACGGCAGCAATCGTTAATCTATGTTCGGGATTCGCTTGCAAACAGCCTCCTAAAAAAATTTATTTGTATTACCATTACCGCCTATAATATAACGCCTCCTGTCTGATGAGTCACAATTATGCACCATTCGCTATTTTAAAATTTTTAAACATGCAACATTTCCGTTAGTTCTTGTTTTCAACCTAATTTTACAACAGAAAATTATCACCACTGAAGTGATGTCTATGCAAGGGTCTTACCCACTTTTAACTCTAATTTGCGCGCATAATTTATATCTAAAAAGATAACTACAAATACTTACTAATTATGTCATGGAAACAAAAAAATTTCGAATCCGACGGTAATGTGTAGTTGGCGTTAATAATCCTCAGCTTAGCACTGTCTTCGAAGGGATGTTTCATATAGCAGAGCATGTACAATATGCATCCTAGTGCCCAAATGTCTACTGGGGGCCCTACGTAATAATTGTTCCAGGTGTCTACCATTTCAGGAGCTCTATACATCGGTGTGGTGAATCTTGCCATCTAAAATATTAAACTAATAAAAATATTTGAGTACTTTATTAACTGATGGTATTATTACGTTTTCTTCTAGGCTGGAGTGCTGATTGGCGGACCAGGACAAGTCAGGTCGATAAATATCAGCGGTAGCAGAACCAAAATCGCATAATTTTATAGTACTGTCGCCGCTAATTAGCAAGTTTTCAATCTTCAAATCCCTATGTATAATCGGTGGTACTTGGGAGTGCATATGCGAAACAGCCTTGCACGTTTGATAAAATACTCTTGTGATCGTTTCAATATCTAAAGCTGATGTACGTGCTTGTAAAATTTCAACTAAGGATCCTCCTGTAACAATTTTATTAATATATTTGTTCATCGTACGTTACATAATATATCTACTTTACCTGGACACAAATCAGTAACTAAAAGAAATTCGCTCTGGTTGTGCGAAGTTTGAGATTTATCTATAAATGAAGCCGATAAATACTGTATTATATTAGGATGTCCAGAAACTTTCTTAAGTATATTTATTTCCTTCATAATGTTATTTTTAGCTTCTTCGTCGGCAGCTAGTAGCCTCTGTTAAATGAAACCAAATTAATTTTAATAAATAAATTCTGAAACAAGTGTTACCTTTAAAGCATAGTCTTTGCCACTATTAACATCCTGAGCCACAAAGACAACAGCAAAACCACCTAAAAGACACGTATTTTTTGAGAATAATAACAAAAAATCAATATTGAAAAATAACCTTCAGCTATGACTTTTTTAATCCTTAATTTTACGTTTGATACCTCTACAATTTGTCCAACAAAACTATTATCACTTTGTCCGTTCGTAGGACCACTAAAGTATTCAAAAGCAGACTTAAATAATTCACTCATATTTGTTTATTAATTTATTTTACAAAATCATTATTTTTGGCTGGTTTTTTTAGCCACTAAACAAAGCTGTCACAAATTTAGGGATTTTGGGTTAATTTAGCCTCCCACATGTATCATTGCCAATATATTTATAGACTGCGTTTTCCACCAGCTGCACTTTTAGCTTAGATTTTAGTAGTCGATTATTAGAAAAATAGAAATTATTCTACTATTACTGTTTTTATATAAAATTTTCATTATTTTTCCTATTTATCTTAAATACCTAACTATTTAAAAAATTTATTAATACTGATACTATAGCCAATGGAAAACTTCTTTTTCACCTCCTCCAATTCATACATTCTATTTCAATCTTCGAGGATATACTTACTAGAGATTTTACTTTAATGTTAAATGAGCTAACAAACGTGCGAGAGAGAAAGCAAATAAAACTACAAGCTATCTCTCTCACTCCGTAATGTTAGGTGCTGGAGGGGAATCACGGGGTCTGATTCTCAACCAATAAAATTTACGGAGTGATAGAGATAGCTTGTAGTTTTATTTGCTTTCTCTCTCAACGTCTGTTCGCTCATTTAGCATTGAAGGCTGCCTCTATAGTAAGTATATCCTCGAAGATTGAAATAGAATGTATGAATTGGAGGGGGTGAAAAAGTTTTCCATAGAGCTTACAACCCTGGGCCCACCCCAAGCAAAAATTGTAGCTACGCCCATGTGTTTACCATTGATTAAATACAAACCTTTTTAGTAGTATTTAGTCTCACAAAATCTGCAATTTCATGTAATAGATCAATGGAGAAATAATAGATTTGAAAAAAATAATCACAACAGTTTATATATCGTAGGAATTATATAACACATATATACATTTTCCTTTGTGTTAAAATAAATGACAATAAATATTAATAATTATTTATTCCATAGAAAATATACAGCACTCGAAGCAATTCTGAGATTCCTGCACCAACTAAAAAATTCATTAATATAGTAGTATCAATGTAAAAGAGATGAACTGTCTTATATACAGGATGTCCGAGTATGAAATAAATTTAAAATCTCAGAATATTTTATGTTGAACATTATTGCTTGAACAAAATTGCTTGTAAAAGGGTTGCATAAACTTCCCTACCGAGATAAATACGAAAAACCTTTAAAACCTGTTAAAAGCCTGTTAAGCAGCATATAAAAGACTTGTTTTTTTGTTTAAAAAAACACTTCAACGTCCTATGGCCCAACAAACCAATAAAACAATTTTACTGGAGGCCCTAATGTCTACAACAAGTAGTTAAGCTACAAAGAGATGCTAAAGATGAAAAATCCAAGTGCGAACCTGTTACGGCATTACAGATTTGAAGCGAAGCAAAGCAAATGAAGTCGGGACCATCAGAACTGGGAACCTACCGCCACTGTTACTCCGAGTTTCCAAAAAATATAAGGCTACAACATCCAACGGAATGAGTGCGTGAAAAATTGGGTAAGAAAGAAATATCGGCGGGATGGATGCTGCGTTTACTCGCAGAGGAGAATAAATGCAATCTTGTGATCAATTTTATGTCTGGTTTGGCGCTTTTCTATCATAATCCTAATGAGTTTTTGCGACTGTTAAGGAAACATGGAAGGTTCTGGCAAAGCTAGTGCCTGCCTTGGCACGAAGCATGGGCCTATTTTAAAACAACTCTTATTAGCAGCATGCACAATAGGTAGTAAGACACGAGAGCTGTGGGTAACTGTGCCACATTTCACAACGGTACTCCAAAGACAAAGGAATAGTCAAAACGGTGAGTTTGTGCCAGCAAATTGTCTCCGAAAAAGGTGAAGACAGTCGAGTTGGTAATAACCACTTTTTTGGGATGGACTTTTGACTAGTTGGAAAAAGGTTGAATGATAAGTAGAGAATATTATGTCTGGTTATTAAACTGGTTGAGTAAAGAAATAAAAAAAAAAAGAAAAAGAGTACGTATTTGGACAAGAAAAAAAATGTACTTCCATCCACACATGCACAGATGAATACCTGTGCGAAAATTCTTGGATTGAAGTTCGAATTGTTCTTCATCTGCCATTTTTTCACCAGATTTGTACCCCAGCGACTTTTTCCCTGAAGTGTATAGAATTAAAAGGGGATACGTTGAAAAATAAATCAACACAAAACAATGTGTTTTTTCTATTATTTTGTACCTACCCTCGTAATATGTCAAATCCTTGATATTGCATTACGACAAATCTTATCACAAAAATTATGACATTTAAACTTTTTTTTTATAGAAATGATTAATTTTGTGTTCGATTCGAAAACTGTTGGACTGAAAATAAGTTTTAGCCTTACTTTTTGTTGTTCTCTCCGCTCCCGCAGTGTCATAGAATAAAACTGGGACACCCTGTATACAGTGTATTCTTGTGATGCAATGTTTTCATAAATCTAGAAAACCTCATCCTCTCTAGATTTGTGACATAGGTATTCCGATTATTTAATGCACGTATATATAAAATATCGAATGCCAATTCCCACTTAAACGATTAGATGCTTCATCTAATTACAGCTTTAGTTGTTTACAGATCTCTCGGAAGATCCACTGTTATTGCCGCTAATAACGGCTAGCAGGTGTCTCGTGCTCGACCCGCTAGTACAGCTCTCCTCGCTACTCCTAACGCTTGCGTGTGAGTGGGGCGTCCCAGGTGGAGGACGGTGGGGGGTGCTGCCTACCGAACTTGTCGTTGCTTCCTCATATAAGGGTCCGGCCGATGGACCTGGCTCGTCGGGGGTGTAGTAGTCAGATTCGTCGCCACGTTCATCTGAAAATCGAGTTTAAGGTCGATATACAGGATGTTTTATAACTCTACTGACCCAGAAGAGGTACATTAAATGTAGAGGATCCTAAAATATGTAGATTTGTTATGTAACTTTTTTTCTGGGATGTACCCTTGAAGAGATATTAATTTCTTTTTGACGTATGATGGTTCGTCTTTACGTTAATATGTTTTTTAAGACTGATATAATAAACACAGACACATTATAAAAATGTCTTCCCCGCCTCTAGTTTTGGAGTCAAAAATGAATCATGTGTACCGCTCTCCTTACTCTGGTTATGACCAAAAAACTGAAATTTATAGAAATATATCCTTTACATTCTGCTCTGTATCTCTTCTACAAACCACAAGTTATGGATATAAATTTCAAAGTTCGATTTTTCTTGAAAATCAAACTTGAGATATACTGCTACTAGAAATATCCTATTTAGTACTTACTGTAACTTTTCAATTTTTCAGGAATATGAACATTAGTCGGTTCGTCGTGGTCGGTGTCCGTGTCATCTATAGAGTCAGTTACGTCAGCCATGTGAAGAGCAAGGTTATTAGATCTATTAAGATCAGTTTTCTGTAACAGCGGAGACAACTTTTCCGCCTCGCTGTCTTCATCCATAATCTAAAAAAGATATGTGTAAGATTATAAATGGAGAAACACTCGGAAAATATAACTTCAGTTCGTATTATTCTTGTTTAAGAATAATATAATATTAAATATACTCTATGTAATTCAGTTAATTTTAATTATTTACTGTTCTTTTTTTATAAAAAATAGTGTCCATGATTCCTGCAATTGTAAAATGCTCAAAATTAAATTTATTTTTGAGGAATTTTTATAGAACACAAACAAGAGTAAATAAATAATAATAAATGAATATAAACAAACAGGGCACAAGAATTTATGAAGATGTAATTGTTTTAAAAATTAAGAAAAGTTAAATATTTTAAAATATTTTTGAAATATATTGGCCAGTTTTGATCTAGAAATAGTTGGAAAAAAAAAATTAAATGGTAAGACCCTTTGTCAACTATTCTCAAAAAATTTTTTATATTCTTCAGCTTAAAAAAACTGTTTATATTTAATATTTTGTGAAATACAGGGTTTTGCTTTCATATTTGTAATAATATGGAGGGTTCTATTACTTTTTGTAATGTAAAAGATGTAAAGGCATACTTTAATTAGGTCTATTGTGTATGTTCTTGTTTCTTTTAATTTTAATATGTATATTTTTCATAGACCTAGTAAACTATGGACTGACCCTAGAAAGAGAGGTCAGTGGTGCTCACATACTAAGCATTTGGTCGCGTTGATATGTGCAAGGCAGATGAAGCTACTTGAGGCAAATACCGGTAAAAAAAAATGATGGTACACGGATATACCGGTACAAAATGCCGTAAACAAACTTTGAAGTAAATGTCATGTATTGACATTATTGATTGATTTCTTGAATTTTTGTGTGATTTAGTTAGTGTATGTGAAAGATTCGTAATAACTAAANATTTCAAAGAAATTTTATTAAAGAATTATTTACCTGCCTTTATGTAAAATAATATTGCAGTTACTTGCCAAAAATTATTTGGAATTCGAAATAATGGTCATGTATCTTTCGTAGTAAACTTTGGAAGCGTCTAGATTTATCAGTTTCATAACACTACTATGTGGCTGAATTTTGCTGTTTTATTCTGCGAAAATTTAATATAATTATTATATAAAGCATTTCTTGTATTTTTAAGCAAATGAGGAACGTCAAATATGGAAATAATTTCCACACCATTAACATTAAAAGTGGATTTATCTGATGACTCGGAAACTAACTGTCTGATAGCTGATCTGTTAGTCGAACCTTGGTCACAAATTGTACAAATTATTTTTAGTCCACAAGACTGCAATGCTGAAATTATTTCAATTAACAAAATTTTTAGGTCCTTTGTTTTTACGTCTTTTGTGGAATAATACGCGATAGACTGCTTCCAATGTTTACTAATACCTTGCACCAAAAACACTACAGCACGATTTGCTACATCATTTTGTCTGCCCAGGGATCCACAATCGACATATCCCGATACTTGATCTTTACAAGTGTCATAATTTAGACCAACAGACAAAGCTATTTCATCAAATACTAAACAACAAACTTTATCTCTTGTAATCATTTTACTAACACGTTCTGATAATTTACGTAACAACTTATCATTTATCCCAACATTTAAAGGTATTTGGCCTAAATATTTCTTTATGGAAAATTTAGAAGGTAGCATAAAAAATTTCTGTAAAAACCTGTAGCACCTTGGCCCACGTTTGTAAATTGCAAAAGCAAGTGTTTTATTTTCTGACTTTATAGGTCATTTCTTTTCACAATTTTTAATTTGTGACTCAATAAATTTTACTCCTACTGGATCAAGATGTTGACTTAATTTTGTAATACTACGAACATGAGACAAATCACTTTTACATTTTAATAGTTTCCTTTTTAATTTCAAAATCTGAATTTTCTGTTGACGATCCAGATAATACATTTTTTTATGTTTATCTGAAAGTTGAGATATTCTCTTAACATTCAAAGTTTTTAAAAATGTTCTTCGTTTATTATTTGACTGAAAAGATGTGAGGCTTTGACAAAATGAGCTATCAAGTGAGGTACTTACATTACCAGTATCTGATTCCGCTTCATTCAACTTGCTATCAGTAATCTCAGTAATGGCACTGGTGCTCGCAGTAGTCATTATAGAAAATGACAATTTTGAATACGTGTATTTCGGTTTTTTAAAAGGAGGTGAAAAATCATCCCAAATTGAAGTTTGACAAAATGTTTTGTTGAATATTCCATACTATCCGAGGATTCCAAGGTGACATTATTACAATTAATAGGTGAACTTGTAGTCGATCCTAAAAATAATGTCGGCACAGCACTTCTGTTGAGACTTTTCTTATTACTGTTTTTACAACATTTTAACTCAAAATGGTCTTCACAAATATAATGATATGTGTTTGTCAGAGTAAAGTCTGATTTACATAATTTTCGAACTGATTTTATCCACAGTAATTGTCTGTCTTTTGAAATACTGAAAAAACTTTTCTACAGAACGCATTACACAATTTACACACATTCATATAGTAAGTGCTTTTGCAATTTGAAGCACAACACTGACGTTTAGTTCTATCAGATAAACTCATTTTGGATAAAAAAAATGAATAAAAATAATGTAAGGCAGTTCAGATGATTGATTCAATAAATACCTTATTACATTCATCTAAAACAAAACAAATTTATTAATGCACAAAACGGGACAACCCACCTCAATATAAACTATAACCTCAGACATTCTATTTCTAGTATTTTTGTTGATTGAAAAGTTGGAAATACAGATTCGATCTGTGGTTGCAGATTTCTGTTTAACAATTTCTATAAAGGACAATGTTTTGCCACAACAACGCTAGATGTCCTCAGTGAATGCATGTTCAGTCCGCCCTATCCAATAAAAGCCTCTTATTTAGTTACTCATATGGCTACGCCCATGTGTTTACCATTGATTAAATACAAACCTTTTTAGTAGTATTTAGTCTCACAAAATCTGCAATTTCATGTAATAGATCAATGGAGAAATAATAGAATTGAAAAAAATAATCACAACAGTTTATATATCGTAGGAATTATATAACACATATATACATTTTCCTTTGTGTTAAAATAAATGACAATAAATATTAATAATTATTTATTCCATAGAAANTTAATTTAGCCTCCCACATGTATCATTGCCAATATATTTATAGACTGCGTTTTCCACCAGCTGCACTTTTAGCTTAGATTTTAGTAGTCGATTATTAGAAAAATAGAAATTATTCTACTATTACTGTTTTTATATAAAATTTTCATTATTTTTCCTATTTATCTTAAATACCTAACTATTTAAAAAATTTATTAATACTGATACTATAGCCAATGGAAAACTTCTTTTTCACCTCCTCCAATTCATACATTCTATTTCAATCTTCGAGGATATACTTACTAGAGATTTTACTTTAATGTTAAATGAGCTAACAAACGTGCGAGAGAGAAAGCAAATAAAACTACAAGCTATCTCTCTCACTCCGTAATGTTAGGTGCTGGAGGGGAATCACGGGGTCTGATTCTCAACCAATAAAATTTACGGAGTGATAGAGATAGCTTGTAGTTTTATTTGCTTTCTCTCTCAACGTCTGTTCGCTCATTTAGCATTGAAGGCTGCCTCTATAGTAAGTATATCCTCGAAGATTGAAATAGAATGTATGAATTGGAGGGGGTGAAAAAGTTTTCCATAGAGCTTACAACCCTGGGCCCACCCCAAGCAAAAATTGTAGCTACGCCCATGTGTTTACCATTGATTAAATACAAACCTTTTTAGTAGTATTTAGTCTCACAAAATCTGCAATTTCATGTAATAGATCAATGGAGAAATAATAGAATTGAAAAAAATAATCACAACAGTTTATATATCGTAGGAATTATATAACACATATATACATTTTCCTTTGTGTTAAAATAAATGACAATAAATATTAATAATTATTTATTCCATAGAAAATATACAGCACTCGAAGCAATTCTGAAATTCCTGCACCAACTAAAAAATTCATTAATATAGTAGTATCAATGTAAAAGAGATGAACTGTCTTATATACAGGATGTCCGAGTATGAAATAAATTTAAAATCTCAGAATATTTTATGTTGAACATTATTGCTTGAACAAAATTGCTTGTAAAAGGGTTGCATAAACTTCCCTACCGAGATAAATACGAAAAACCTTTAAAACCTGTTAAAAGCCTGTTAGGCAGCATATAAAAGACTTGTTTTTTTGTTTAAAAAAACACTTCAACGTCCTATGGCCCAACAAACCAATAAAACAATTTTACTGGAGGCCCTAATGTCTACAACAAGTAGTTAAGCTACAAAGAGATGCTAAAGATGAAAAATCCAAGTGCGAACCTGTTACGGCATTACAGATTTGAAGCGAAGCAAAGCAAATGAAGTCGGGACCATCAGAACTGGGAACCTACCGCCACTGTTACTCCGAGTTTCCAAAAAATATAAGGCTACAACATCCAACGGAATGAGTGCGTGAAAAATTGGGTAAGAAAGAAATATCGGCGGGATGGATGCTGCGTTTACTCGCAGAGGAGAATAAATGCAATCTTGTGATCAATTTTATGTCTGGTTTGGCGCTTTTCTATCATAATCCTAATGAGTTTTTGCGACTGTTAAGGAAACATGGAAGGTTCTGGCAAAGCTAGTGCCTGCCTTGGCACGAAGCATGGGCCTATTTTAAAACAACTCTTATTAGCAGCATGCACAATAGGTAGTAAGACACGAGAGCTGTGGGTAACTGTGCCACATTTCACAACGGTACTCCAAAGACAAAGGAATAGTCAAAACGGTGAGTTTGTGCCAGCAAATTGTCTCCGAAAAAGGTGAAGACAGTCGAGTTGGTAATAACCACTTTTTTGGGATGGACTTTTGACTAGTTGGAAAAAGGTTGAATGATAAGTAGAGAATATTATGTCTGGTTATTAAACTGGTTGAGTAAAGAAATAAAAAAAAAAAGAAAAAGAGTACGTATTTGGACAAGAAAAAAAATGTACTTCCATCCACACATGCACAGATGAATACCTGTGCGAAAATTCTTGGATTGAAGTTCGAATTGTTTTTCATCTGCCGTTTTTTCACCAGATTTGTACCCCAGCGACTTTTTCCCTGAAGTGTATAGAATTAAAAGGGGATACGTTGAAAAATAAATCAACACAAAACAATGTGTTTTTTCTATTATTTTGTACCTACCCTCGTAATATGTCAAATCCTTGATATTGCATTACGACAAATCTTATCACAAAAATTATGACATTTAAACTTTTTTTTTATAGAAATGATTAATTTTGTGTTCGATTCGAAAACTGTTGGACTGAAAATAAGTTTTAGCCTTACTTTTTGTTGTTCTCTCCGCTCCCGCAGTGTCATAGAATAAAACTGGGACACCCTGTATACAGTGTATTCTTGTGATGCAATGTTTTCATAAATCTAGAAAACCTCATCCTCTCTAGATTTGTGACATAGGTATTCCGATTATTTAATGCACGTATATATAAAATATCGAATGCCAATTCCCACTTAAACGATTAGATGCTTCATCTAATTACAGCTTTAGTTGTTTACAGATCTCTCGGAAGATCCACTGTTATTGCCGCTAATAACGGCTAGCAGGTGTCTCGTGCTCGACCCGCTAGTACAGCTCTCCTCGCTACTCCTAACGCTTGCGTGTGAGTGGGGCGTCCCAGGTGGAGGACGGTGGGGGGTGCTGCCTACCGAACTTGTCGTTGCTTCCTCATATAAGGGTCCGGCCGATGGACCTGGCTCGTCGGGGGTGTAGTAGTCAGATTCGTCGCCACGTTCATCTGAAAATCAAGTTTATGGTCGATATACAGAGTGTTTTATAACTCTACTGACCCAGAACAGGCACAGTAAATGTAGAGGATCCTAAAATATGTCGATTTGTTATGTAACTTTTTTTCTGGGATGTACCCTTGAAGAGATATTAATTGTACAGAGATATTAATTGTAAGTTTATGTTTACATTCCATATAAACCATCATCTGAGAACTATGAAAATATTTATATTTTTGTGTACGTTTAATTTTTAACATTATAACTTTCCATTTCTTTTTGACGTATGATGGTTCGTCTTTACGTTAATATGTTTTTTAAGACTGATATAATAAACACAGACACATTATAAAAATGTCTTCCCCGCCTCTAGTTTTGGAGTCAAAAATGAATCATGTGTACCGCTCTCCTTACTCTGGTTATGACCAAAAAACTGAAATTTATAGAAATATATCCTTTACATTCTGCTCTGTATCTCTTCTACAAACCACAAGTTATGGATATAAATTTCAAAGTTCGATTTTTCTTGAAAATCAAACTTGAGATATACTGCTACTAGAAATATCCTATTTAGTACTTACTGTAACTTTTCAATTTTTCAGGAATATGAACATTAGTCGGTTCGTCGTGGTCGGTGTCCGTGTCATCTATAGAGTCAGTTACGTCAGCCATGTGAAGAGCAAGGTTATTAGATCTATTAAGATCAGTTTTCTGTAACAGCGGAGACAACTTTTCCGCCTCGCTGTCTTCATCCATAATCTAAAAAAGATATGTGTAAGATTATAAATGGAGAAACACTCGGAAAATATAACTTCAGTTCGTATTATTCTTGTTTAAGAATAATATAATATTAAATATACTCTATGTAATTCAGTTAATTTTAATTATTTACTGTTCTTTTTTTATAAAAAATAGTGTCCATGATTCCTGCAATTGTAAAATGCTCAAAATTAAATTTATTTTTGAGGAATTTTTATAGAACACAAACAAGAGTAAATAAATAATAATAAATGAATATAAACAAACAGGGCACAAGAATTTATGAAGATGTAATTGTTTTAAAAATTAAGAAAAGTTAAATATTTTAAAATATTTTTGAAATATATTGGCCAGTTTTGATCTAGAAATAGTTGGAAAAAAAAAATTAAATGGTAAGACCCTTTGTCAACTATTCTCAAAAAATTTTTTATACCCTGCTGCCAAATTTTATATATTCTTCAGCTTAAAAAAACTGTTTATATTTAATATTTTGTGAAATACAGGGTTTTGCTTTCATATTTGTAATAATATGGAGGGTTCTATTACTTTTTGTAATGTAAAAGATGTAAAGGCATACTTTAATTAGGTCTATTGTGTATGTTCTTGTTTCTTTTAATTTTAATATGTATATTTTTCATAGACCTAGTAAACTATGGACTGACCCTAGAAAGAGAGGTCAGTGGTGCTCACATACTAAGCATTTGGTCGCGTTGATATGTGCAAGGCAGATGAAGCTACTTGAGGCAAATACCGGTAAAAAAAAATGATGGTACACGGATATACCGGTACAAAATGCCGTAAACAAACTTTGAAGTAAATGTCATGTATTGACATTATTGATTGATTTCTTGAATTTTTGTGTGATTTAGTTAGTGTATGTGAAAGATTCGTAATAACTACATATGGTGCAATCGTGTTCTGTGATAAATTGCATAGACGTTTAAGTGAAGAAAAAATTAAATTTCATAGGTAGAAAAGAGGTTATGATGGTACCAACATGTTTATACTTTTTGCATCTTTCTGAAGATAATGACCAAGCACAGTTGTCTCTGATGATAACTTATTAGATTATATTCCCCCATCCTCAAAATAAAATGTAATAAAATTTTGACGTTAAAATTAACGTCAAAATTTTTCCGCTTTAAATATGTTAGTCTTCAATTTATTTTTTAACATTGAACCGAATAAAAAGAAACAACTGAAATGTACTTATAATGTGCTCCAGCAAAAATTCTCTTCAGATAATATGTTGAATGAAGAAAGCATCGACATAGTTTCAATTTATACAGTTCTGCAAAGCAAGAATATATGAAATATTTGAAACAACTACGTCAGAAGAGCTTGCAGTAATTTTAACCAATCGAGTTTACGATATGAGGAAAATAAATAAAGAAATTCATAAATAAGACATTATAAAAACTATTTGGAATATTATAGCTAAAACAATTTAAATATTGTACTCTAATTAGGACAGTAATATAATAAACCCTTTTACATACGTACACTACTGGAAAAAATGAACATTTTTTTCTTTTAGTCTTTATATTATTTTTATAAAGTTTTTGAATACGGCCCAACAGAAAAAAGGGGTAAGGAATCGAGTATAGATAGCTGATTGGTTGAATTAAGTGTAACACGCTACAATCGAAATTCTGTGAACGAAGCTTAAGCCCTTACTAGCTCCATCTCTCTCGCACACGTCAGAGCGATTACCGGTTATATAGGCAAAATGACAGTTGGGCGAGTCCAGTAGTTTATAAGGTCTATGATATTTTTGCATTGTTTTTGACTATCCTGTTGGTTGTTTTTATTGAATTTGACTTTTATATATATACAGGGTGTTCCAGATAGACCTTCAATTAGATGTTTCTGCAAAACTACGCGTACTGGAATTCTGAAACTTTATGTACGGGGGTTTCTCCTAATGTTCTATCGATTGAAAATATTGGCGTCACAGTGGAACTTCCGGTTCTACCGGAAGAAGACGTCAACTCGCTTATTTCAAATGGAATGTACTATTTTTTATTTAATTTTTGGATTCTACATCGAATTTTAAGGGAAGTTTCATAACCTTACTTTATCCTTAAACTCAATAGTTTTTGAAATATTTTGACTTTTTCAAAATTTTTGAAAAAAACATACCTACACTTAATCGGTTCTATCTCCTCCAATTTTTAAGATAGGAAGATGAAATTTTAGATGGTCAATACCAAAACGTGTCCAAATATCTGGAATATTCGAAAGTTGGTGCATGTTACACAGGGCGTCTAAAAAACTCGGACCAATTGTGTCAAATTGAAAGTTTAATAACTCGCTTATTTTAAATAGAACACCCTGTGTTTTATAATGCCAGTAGATGCACCTGTTAATTCTCTTTCCATTGGTATAAGCATTCCCTATACCTAAATCCCACCGATTTTGAGATATTTGAACATAAGTACAGAGACGAATATAATCCGACAGTTAGCTGTAGGTTGGCTGTGGAAAAACATTTAAATGTCACCAAGTGTCATTACTTATTTAGCAGATTTGCTGTC